CCTTGGGTTTTTTTTTTTTTTTTTTTTTTTTTTTATAATAAACGGTGAGACAAACCCATCTAGGATCCATCTCCTAACACAAATCCATCCTCGTAAATGAGTTAGATACAGGTAGAGGAAGAACTGATCCAATTTAGTGGCAAGCCATGCATAGTCTCACGAATCCACAATTTGTGAATAAAATTTAAAACGCAAGTCATTCACAAGCATGTAAAAGCGGCACAGCAGAAGACTGTAGTGGAATGTAAAGATGAGGGCACGAGAGTGTTAAAATGCTATCTGTATTGAATCGAAATGAGAAGATAAAGAACATAGACGAACCTGTTGAAAGCTGCTGCGAAGAACAGGAGAGGCGTATCCCGTAAGGGTTTAGCAAACAGCCGAGACCGACTGGATGGCTATAGAGGTGCGCGTCTAAGTTCCAAGGCGATAGAATTATTGGACGACCATACCGTTGATCCGATTTTTATTTTAAAATTTTTTAATTATATATATATATATTATTTTTATTTTTATTTTTTAAAAGTTAAAAAATATTTTATTGTTAATCTATGGACCAATATCGTCGATACCTCATAATTTATCTGCAAACGTTTAATATTATTTGAAGAGTTCATGAGTATTCTTGTAACGTTGTACTAACGGTAAATGTATTTTTGAATTTTTTAAAAGAATTAAAGATTTTTTCACGAAATTTTTTTTCTAAAATTTAAGTGAGTCGATACCTCATAATTTATCTGCAAACGTTTGCCTCTTAACCGTTGCCATCTATATGGAGTTCACCAAAGTTTACTTCCCAAATGCAAATGAATTTATTGTTAAGAAAAATTGTAATGTGGATAGATAAACATATTTTCTTGTAGACGTGATGGTGCTTCCAATGAGTTAAGTGGCGATGGGGTCTAGTAAAGCCCTATTAACACAACACGATCACCGGTGAGTCTTAGGTTTGATATTCCTTCGAAGAATGAACTGAATTATCCTCGTGATAAAATCCTTTTATCAAGATAAAAAATATCGTACACGGATGAGGTGCTACAACAGTTGCAAAATACAACTTAGCCTCGGGTTTCATTATTTTAAAAATTAAGTGATTTATTTTATTTTTATTTCAACAAATGAGATAAGAAATTCATACAAAAATATCATAAATAACTCTATTAACATACAATTGTATAAGCATGGAAAATTGAAAATTTGCTGTTTTTTTTTTTTTTTTTCTTTTGTCAAGAAAAACTTACCAGTAAAAGGGGGTATGGATTTCTTGTACAAACTTGATGCTCCCATTGGAGGTTTTCACCTGTTCAAAACAACCTGTCCCGAGTTCAAGCTGCGAACATCCATAAACTCGTAGACTACTTAACCTGACGAGATTCGATAAAGCTTTCTGGGAAGGCAAGTTTTTCAAATTTCTGCAGTTATAAAGCTTCAATATCTCCAAAGACGTAAAGTTTCCGAACCATTCTGGTAAAGCTTCAACGTCGTCAAAATGCGAAATATGCAGTGATCTCAAAGTAGTGAGGTGCTCGAGTTCTTGAGGAAGTTGTGCTGCATCGCTTCCCGAGTGAACCAACACAAGATTCTCAAGTGATCTGAGATGGATGAGAGGACCCCAATCATAAACATTCAAGTCCCCATGAATACTCAAGTCTTTCAAGTTAAGTAGGCTGGCAATCCCATTAGGCAACTTCTGAAAATCTCTTATACTCAAACAAGACAAGCTTCGCATATTCTGCAAATTCAGATCTGAAAAATAACTTATCCACAAGTTTTCAACAGAGCTGCAGAATTCTAACCCGTCCCGTAGTTTTGACAAGTTTTCGCATCCCAAAATCTTTAGAGATCTAAGCTTTCCACAACCTCGAAAGCTCGGAAACGTCCTCGAAGTAACATCATCACCTTCCAACCTCTTGCAATAAGATACAACAAAATTTGGAATGTTCATTAATTTCCCACAACAAATAATGCTCAAACTTTCAAGATGAGGAAACATGGTATAGTTTGATATACATGATATCTCTCCCCAATGCTCTAGATTTTTCATTTCAAAGATATGAAATGATTTCAAGTTCAGGAACAAAGTCCTCTCTCTGAAATAATTCCCATAGAATTCGTCCCCAATTCTTCTTACACTAGGTAAGTTCCGAATTTCGAGTACCTCGAGTTTCGGTAACTGCCCAAGCATTGGTAACGTTTCACATCGCTCACAGTCATGTAGATATATCTCGACCAAGTTTTCAACAAAAATTCTACTCGGTAGAAGTTCACCTGCAAAGTTTCGAATTCTTAAGGCTTGAAGATTTTTGTGTGGTTGAAGCCCTTCCAAAACATCTAAATCATTGTAATTATCACCTTCCCTTTCATGTTTCCAACCCCATTGGAATTCTAGATGAAAAATTTTCTCCTTCTCCACCAATTTCGCAGCCATGGCCTCCTTTTTATTCTTTACTCTTTCCAGACAATAGAGGCTTAAATTACCTTTAAGGTTCTTCAGAGATCCAAGTTCATCCATCTTATATCCCTCATGTAACCCAACTATAAAACAAGACAATGTTTGAAGTTGAATCAATCGACCCAAATGTTGAGGCATTTGCTTAAACTGATTTGAAGGATCAGTGTAGAATTCTAAATGTCTTAAGCAGATCAAGTTTCTCAGATTACTTGGAAGATCTTGAATAAATCTTCCAAGCTTCAACGTTTGCAAATTATAAAGCAGACCAAGAGATTCGGGAAGCTTACTTATTGAAGAATTTGAAATGTCAATGTACCTCAAATGCTTCAACGAACCAATTGAATTTGGTAATTCAAGTATAAAATAAGATGAATGTGTAATTAAAACACGCAAGTAGGTAAAGTTTGCAATCTCAGAGTGAAACACATGACGACCAAATGTTAACATGTGCAACTTTCTAGGATCTTCGTTACTAGAATCAAGTGTTCTTTTTCTTCCATCGTTTGAAATAGCACACGCTACGTCGTGTATAAAATCATGCATCTTAAAGTATACAGCTCTTCCTCTCTTATCCTTGACAACATCTTGAAACAGGGAGCAGAGATAACAAAATGTTGAAATAATTGTCTCCAACATCCTCCATTGTTACATTCACTTCCTCAGGTGGTTGAATGAATCCTTGTGCAATCCACATTTGAATAAGTGAATCCTTTCTAAACTCGAAGTCATGAGGAAAATTTGAACAATAGGCAAAACATTGTTTTAATGAAGGCAATGGTAGGCGATCCACACTTAGTTTTATTGTGGATAAAACACGGTTTTCATCTTGCAACGGAATTCTCGTTAAATATTTCAATGGAGATTGTAATCTCTCATAATTCTTATATAATTTCATTGTTCCTCCTAACACTTTCACAACCAACGGTATGCCACAAAAATTTTCGACAAGTTCTTTTCGGATCATATCTAACTTTGGAATTGTTGGTGAATCACTTCCAAATGCACATTTCTCAAATAAAGACCAACAATGATCATTCGATAGCTTTTTCAAACGATGCCACGAATGTGTTTCCATGATCTTTGCAACTTCTTCACTCCTAGAAGTCACAACAACAACATTACCGAATTTTCGAGTAATCTTTAACAGACAAGCTTTTAACTCATCCCAGAGGCTAAGATTCTCATTCCAAACATCATCCAATACAAGGAAATAGTTTTTGTCCTGCAACCATTTTTGGATCTCTTGGAGTAAAGCTTCCTTACTTTCCAATCCACCAGAATTGGGATTAAGAGTTTCTAAAATTGCTCTTAAGATCTTGTTGATAACAAAAGGATCAGATACACACACCCATATAGTTCTATCAAAATTCCCCCTAATCACTTCATGATTGAAGATTAGCTTGGCCACAGCTGTTTTCCCTAATCCGCCCATACCAACAATAGGTAGAACAGACAGCATTTCACTATTTCTAAGTTCAATCAACTTGTTCACTATCTCCGACACTTCTTCATCTCTTCCAATTACTCCAAACTCGTCAAGAAACGAATCCGTCTCATGAATCTGACTAAGATCAGGTTCAGTTTCTTTGGATGTTATAGCAACAAGTCCAACAACACTCGCCGCAGAATAATGCTCTTTCAACATTCTAGAAATCGCCTTAATTCTATTTCCCATTTTGAGACGAAAAACGAGAGGATTTTTGGAAAGTGAAACGAAATTACGTACCATCGCATCTTTTCCGGTTTCCACCTTACGTCGAAGACGTTCATAAGCAAGATCGTCGAGTAAAACATCGGCTTCGAATACAATATCTTGAAGCTTCTCCACCCATGGCTTCACTTCAGGATACTCTGACTTTATTCTGTCCACATCGCGAAGGATAGCATGAAGCATGAGTAAAGAGTCTCTCATCTTCAAGAGGTCCTTCTTGAAACCCCATGCCAAACCTATTTGCTGTGCTGCAAGGCTCGCCGTCTTCTTCAACAGTTCCTGCACGGCAAAAGTCCACAGGAATTCCGCCATTGTTGTCTTCTTTGACCCTCCAGATTTGCAGTGATCGGAGGAAAGAAGGTCCACTTCGTTGAACACCCAAAAGATATTTCTGCAAGAGATTAGTCAATGATTTCATCTTGTCCTGTCCACACAAACAGTCCAAAAATAAAAAATTTTAAAAATATGTATAATAAAAATGGAAATCAATTTCGTTTAAACAAAATAAAAATAATTTCATTTTCCTTCAAATGGTCGGTCAAAAAACTAAATTAATAAATAAAAAAAAAATTAAAATCTCATTTTCAAAATTCCAATAATACCCTTCAACTTAGAGGGGACCGTTCGAGCTTTTTGAACTTTTTAAAAAATTTAAAGGTATTTTTTAAATATAAAACGAGCAACAAAACAACGAGTACAATTCAAAATGCACACAAGGATTGCTCCAAGCAATTCCTTCCCACACGATAGTTAACAGCTTGACCTACTTGACGTAACGGTTAGAGTATTACTTTCATACGCCTTTTATTTTGTTATCTAAAGGCGTAGATTCTGAAGTGGGTAAAACACTCGAAGAGTGATCTCTTCCTTGTCTGTGTAGGAGGCTATTCTTTATATAATCCAACTGAAATCAGGGACGTGACTTCCTAAAATAAAATTCAAAAAAATAAAGCAAGCATTCCATAATTATTACTATTATTGTCTAATATAACTACGAAAAAAAGCATTAAATAATTATTACTATTATATCTAACATAACTACAAAACATAATAGTAATGTAACCGCTGGTTTAGTCTATCAATCTTACTAAAATCGTGAGACTAATGATGATATGTAACAGGTTAAAGTAGATAATATCTGCACGAATAATTTATCGAAGTTCAAACTTATCGAAGTTAGTTTGAACGCTTAATATTCTTTTTGTTTTGATGCAATCAAACATTAAATGAAAACTTTCAGCACCAACATTCATAATCTT